GTTGTCGTGGGCCCACGACAACCAAAATCTGTGTACTTTACATATTTTTTCGAGCCGGCCGGTCTCATTTTTACACAGATATATGTTTGCGGGAATCACCCATTTAGTACGTACCGTACTTGGTACTGTAATAAGGTGTGCACAATGTACGTACGTACCGTCTGGTACAAATGATAAGATTTTAACAATATTTTAAGCGATGCGGTACCAAGTACTCGTACATTACTACGTCTTAGTTCTCGTCGTGCGAGGAAGACAGAAAACCATTGTGGGAGCGAACGTGTGAGTGTTGAACTTGGAAGAGCCCAAACGAAGTGAGAAGAGAAACACCGAGACACCACGAGACAGAGCAAAGCGCCCACTCCAGCAATCCCACCAGCGCCATGACCATCGTCGGGAACACCCGTTCCTCGAGGGACGCCCTGGCCTTTCTCCGGTCGGTCAAGCCGAAGGACGGCTGGTCGATCCAGGAGAACGACGGCGGGACCTCCGTCCGGCTGCTCCGGAGGAACGTCCCCCTCACGGAAGAATCCTTCCGGGACGTCCACTACGATCCCTCCCGGAACGCCGTCGTGGGCGTCGTGTCGAGCGACGCCTCGGTCTGCCGGGTCCTGGTGGACGGGGCCACCGGCCGGCCCGTCCCGAAGTCCGAGGGGCACGTCTCCTGCTCCGGCTCCTACGGGGGGCGGAGGGCCCTGCCGGAATCCACGGACCGAGACCGGGCCGGCAATCCCGGGGGCGGGAGCGGTGCCCGTGCCCGTGCCCGTGCGTCCGGATCCTCCTTCTTCGACGGCCTCTCGGACCTGTTTTCCGGCGGGGAAACAGAGCCGGCCCCCGCTGGCAGAAGGACCAGCAGCAACACCAACCGCAACACCAGCAACAACGTCCGCGGGATCCGAACCAGCGGCAGCAGTTCCGCCAGCAACCCTTCCGAGGCTCCCCCCAACCCCTTGGCGGGCCTTTCGGAGGAAGACCAGCAGCGCTACCTCAAGTACGCCGCGATGGGCCTCGGCGCCTGGACCGCGCTGAGGGCCCTGTCGGCGATCCTCTCGGAGGCGCTCTGGCTGGCCCTCTTCCTTCCCGGCCTCTACTGGTACGGCGTCCAGACCCGGCCGGCCGACTCGTCCTTCGACACCAAGAAGGAGGTCAAGCGCGTCCTGCGGGGACACCACCTGCCGGACGACCACCCCCAGAAGCCCCAGCGGGCCAACCCCCTCGAGTGGTGGACCGCCAAGATCGCCGCCAGCCTGGCGACGGAGGTGGGGGCGGCCTCGGGGGGCTACGCCCTGGAGCTGACCCCGCTGCTCGGGGGGGTGGCCACCCACGCCCGCGTCGTGCTGCCAGCGCTGGGGCTGGCCTGCGAGTGGATCGGATGCCACCACACCTGGTACCACCTGCGGACGACCGAGGCGTCGGAGTGAGCGAGCGATTCGCGCTTTGCGGGGCCGCGCGGTTGCACCTTGGCAGTGGCTCGGGTTTGTCGTTGGCCCGCGGAGAAGAAATGCGTTGCCGCGCGGCGGCCCTTGCCGCGGCGGTTGTCTCTCGCGCGGAGGGTGGTGGTGGTGCTTGGATGCCCCGGTGCCCGTTGCATGGCGGTGTGTCGGGTTGCCCTGTGATGCGTTGTGTTGTGTTGTGCTGCCCCACGCCTCGTTCGACGGTTCCATCCATTCGTCCCGTCCATCCGGAGCTGCCTGCTGCGACGGTGGATCCCTCCGTTCCCTCACGAGTTTGTGGCACGACGGGCTTCTGGAATCCGAGCGAGCGAGAAAGGAATTTGATTTTTTATGCTATAGCGACTATCCCCTTGCAATAGTGCAAGAGGCCTAGGAATCGCTACGTTTTGAAACGCATGCGGTGTATCTAATAGAATAAATGCTAGAAGTAGTAGTTTTTTGTGTCTAGAGTGTGCAAGAAGCATCCTTGTTCGGTTGTACTCTCGAAAACCTAACAAGAAATGTTCTGTACGAAACAACGAGTGCTTGAGATATAATATTGCAATTACTATTCACATGTAATCTCAGCCGATACTAAATCAAAGAGACAACAAGCAAGCACAGCATGTATCTGTTGAGCATGCACCATGGAAGGATAAAGATCTGGATGCTGCAATGAAAGAGAACAAGCCACCAAATAAACAACCATATCAGCCTCATCTAAATCAGCAGCTAGAGGAGGAACCAAATTGACTGAATCAGAAGGAGCCGACCGGGCCCTTGAATCATACTATGATCCATATTTAAATTACTACTAGTAGTAGTAGTTATTTATTTGTTCGAAAACCTCTTACACTGCTTCCATTGGTCTGCTCACTCCTCTACTAGCACCACCACAGACTGTGCTGAACTCAGTACTAGTAGAACTTTTAACAGTTTTGGCAGAGTGAGTTCACAGTTTACAGTCGACTCAGTAATGCTTTGTGAAACAACAAAATTGTCGTCATCTCTACTACTATTAGTGCTACTAGCAAAATATTCCAGTCAATAGTAGTTCATTATTCTTACAGCAGGAGGAGGAGATAAACTTAATGCCAACAAGGATTAGTATTTTATTGCTGAAGAGAGGAAGCAAAGGAAAGAGCACATCAATGGCCTGGAGTCACTGAAGAAAAATGCCAAAGCAGTATCTGAGTTCAATGCGAAGGCTACCAGTTTGATTGAAGAGCATGCATCCAAGGGAAAAGATGTTAAGAAGGAAGATGATTCCACGTCCCTTCCAGTTTCTGTACTCAAATAGTTTTTTTTAATGCGAGACAGGTTGAACTTGTGAAGGCAAATGAAATCTTTTGTTCCCTCAGTAGAGCCGTGTACAATTTGTACAGACTCCGGACATGTCTCGACCTCATATGCCATCCTACCTCGTACTAAGTCGCTTGCGCGACGCAAGCTCAATGTGTGCTTCGACCATAAAAATTGGGTTGCGCTGGGGCGTTGGGGTTCGGTAGGGATTTCGCGGGTTGCAATTACTTTATGCGACAACTATAGTCCCGTACATAGTAGCCCCAACCAATACTTCGAATTTCAGCAGTTGTATTTTCAGAACATCAATTTCGGTTCTGGTGTACTTTGATTTTATGCCTTGGCATAAGTGAAAATCATTCGCAAATTCTTGCCAAAGAACGACTCTTGTTGTGAATTCCTACCAATGTAAAAAGATAAAAGAAGTCAGCATCAGAATTTTGGAAGAAGGATCGAACGAGTGGGTTAGAGATGGTCCTAGTTTAGGAGGTTTCAAAAGCGTAAATGAAGAGCACGATGAACTTGGGAATCAAGATGAAAACAAAGTGAAAACCATTCACAGGTTCGTGGTGAAAAAACTGGAGGACGGTCCCGACGGCAAACTACATGTGACAGGAACCTTTGTTCAAAGTGTCTATGGTCTTCCTGAAGCAGAAATCAACTCATTTTGTGGACGCAACGACCCTGAATCATTCTTTGACTATCACTTCAACAAAAAGAACGAAAGAAATGAAGGTGCTCGTGTACTATTCACAAAGCCTATCGAAAAAAACACTGATTGTACCGTTCCAAAAGGAATTCAGACAGCACTCGACGTAACTATTCCGTTGGAAATCGAACCGTTCCTTTCTGCATTCCCCTTCCACGCTGTCATTGCGACTGCTTCCATAGAGTTATTGCCGCGTCGAAGTACTGATGGTAAAGAACTTTATCCAGACTTGCACCTCCACAGATTTGACCCTCGGCAAAATATCAGAATTTGGAACAAAAGCGATTACGAGGATAAGACGAGGCTATTTGAGCAGTTTTCAATAGAGACGAGAAGCGATGCACTTGACGTGATCAATGACAGCTTAGACCAGTCACCACGCTACAATCTCCTTTCGCCCTTTCCCGAGGTTTGGCACGAGCAGCTTCCAGGCGATAGGAAGTTTCCTTGCCATTGCCGACGTTTTCACTTGTCATTTTACGTTGTGGAGGCTGGTTTTCACAAATTGTTTTCGGTCCTGCTACCGATGATCCTTGTCACGATCATAGCCATGTTGAATGTTGCAAATGACATCATGCATGATCAAAGCCAAAGAAACAGCGGGTCACCTGCAAGTGACATGGAAAAAGGTGAAGAGGCGTCGAGTCATCTACAAGTGACATCGGCCCTGACTCTTGCGATTGTCTTTGTCTTGAACGATGCTTGCAATCAAGACCGACTCTTTAACACGGACAATGTCAATGTAGTTGTCTACTTTTCAGGTTTGGTGCTTACAAGCTTCCCAATATCTATTGTGCAATCTTACATACCAGAGGTGGTGGGAGTAATTTGTATGGCCTCGGCTTTGGTGTTGCCAATTAGTCGCTGCGTTCTCTATTTTCGTATTCAACGGTCCATCCGAGGCAAAGCCCGACAGTCGAAAAAGTTTTTTGTGAAGGACCGCTCCTACGAAGCCGACGGAGATCTGAATCACTACATCGCGGTTGGTGATGTCCTTGATTCTCATTGTGGCGAAAACAAGTTAAAATCAAACTACATTGTGGAGGAAGGTTCTGGTTATGTTTGGTTAGATGTGTGGTCGCCCCCGCTTGGGAAGGATGTTGTTGTTGACCAATCTGAAGAGGAACCTAGAAATAGATCGAGAGGGGGAAGTATTTGGCAAGAATCATTGTCAATGTCAGGAAGAAGCGTTTTGAAACAAAGTATAACAGAATCGTGGTGCCAGCATCACTTTTCTGGCATCACAACAGAATAAAGAATACAGTCAGTGATCACCAATAGCATTCAAACACTTCAGTATCAACACTATGAAGATTTAGCAGATATGATGATTTATGGCCTCGATACCATGCTGCCATTGCAGCAGTGTCATGGGCGTGATAAAGGTGTTCTAGTGTTTTGTTCAGGTGATAATTTAGAATGTGTGGTCAGTGGTTTGGGAGAAAGTTATGTTCCATGTTCAATGACACTCACTTCACACCAGATATTAAGAAAAGTCAAGAAGCTTACCAGGATCATCCAGGTCCAAGACTTGAATCTAAGATGGTCATTTATGATTCAATTCACATAGGCCCAAAACCAAATGACCAGTACATAAGCTAAGTTTCATACTTGAATCAGGTTTGTGCACAAAGCAGATGCAATAGGTTGCAAATGTTTGTGAGCAATTCTTGTAATCATTTTGCAGATGCCAAGATTCTTGCAAACCTTTTCTAAAATTGCTTTTCTTGATCAAGGTATGCTACCCCCTCAGTGAATATCTACCTGTCGTGCCATTGGTTGTTGTTGGATACTCTGTGGGTTTTCCTGTCCATCATCTAACCCCCAAGTAGACTCCTGTTGATCAACCATAGTAGTATTAGTGTCCTTGTGAGCAACAATAACCTCTCTTGAAAGATTTGGTTGGAACAAATTATGAATCACTTGCTGGTTTCTAGCTTCTTCTTAGTAGCTTACCAGGAGTTCCTATTGGTGAATTCTTTGGAATTGTGAGCCCATATTCCCCTAAAGTGTACCATCTCTGCTGCCTTGTTGTCTCCATCTCCTTTTGTTTTGTCATCAATGTTGAGAATTTAATTTCCTGTCAAGACCTTGAGCTATTTAATAACCCATACACAACCCTTCCCTGGCTACTAAAAGTAGATGCCTTGTGAGGCCTCATGATACCTATTTTTCAAACTTTGGTTGCTCTGGATTTTTTCTTCTCTTCATTTTGTAAGTGAACAAGGAAGTCTGATGACCAAAGAGATTTCAACTACAAAGCAATTCCACATAAAACCAAAAAAAGATTGTACGTCACTTATCCTTGGTTCTTTTTCAAGTCTACAGTATGAGAAAAAACAAAAGATGTTTTGAGTGGAGTTCCTGTTGAATAGGGTATCCATTGGAAGGGTTGTCAAACTGGCAATCCAAGAATAGTCAACTTGTTGAACTGGATTGTTGAAGTGGATCATACCACCAATGCAATAGGAAAGGTTCTTATTCTTGGATAGTAATCAATAGTTTATTTCATCCAACTGGATTGTGACCTGATCTGGATTGAACAGTGATTTTGTTGCACTGGTAGATCCAAATCTGTTCTGAACTGTAGTAATTTTGTCAAACTGGATTACTACAATCTGAATTGTTTGGTAATTTTGTCATGTACAATGATGCAACAGTACCTCTTTGGGCTTGGGGTCAGGTGGATTAGACTCTCAGACTCCTCCATGGTGGGAAGTGGTGGAAGCTTTAGATGAGAATGTGTGAGGATCCTGTGGGGATAAGTGTGCATGATATATTAGACTTGTCATTGTTTGCAGKGCTAACAAGTTACAGACTTTTGTTGTTGCCTGCCCATTTTCGTCCTTGCAGTGCTTGTTTTTGAGAAAGGGTGTGCCCATGAAGGTCTTCATTTTGAAGTTCCCACAATGACATGCAGGAGTTGAGAAAGAAATGAGAGCTAGAATAAAGATCAGGATCAGTGGTTCACTGAAGTAGAACGTGACCAGCAACCTACAGGTGGTGACAGTTGATCTAGCTTTGGAAATGATTTGCAGGATGAAGTGATTTGGGGCATTTCTATGGTGAAACAGTGTCAATATCTAACCATTCAGTAATACAACTTGTAAGAGTATCAGTGGCCATCAATCAGAATTCCAAAAGTTTAGACATCCACTGCCATAGAGAATGGACTGTCTGTTGATGCCATTACTGTCTGCAGTTGATGCCATTGGAGTCTGGTTGAATGTGAGCATCAGAAGAGATGCTGTGAATCTTCTGCTGGTTGGGCACAGAGGAGACAGCATGTTTCATCAGTTTGATGTTTCCACTGTTTGAGAACAGTGACAGTTGGTAAGATATGGTTGAAGCATTGTTCAGTGAGGACCAGAACATTCCTGGAGACGCAAAAATTGCTGGTGGCAATCCGCCTGAGAGAATTCCAAGCAATATTGGTAA